GTAATGAGAAGCTATGGAACCAAGCAGGGTAGCGACTGATAGAGGGGGAGATAAGACAGAAAGCTTGGAGTTGGATTGGTTACACCCAGAGAAGACGGAGCGGACACGTAGACAAGTTGGCCCTGGGGTGGAACACACAGGGAAAGCGCAAGGGAGGAGGACCCCATCACACCTGGAGGCGCAACAGAAGGACAGAGGTGGTGGACAGACCGCTTTCGTGGCATGAGGCAGAAGGCACTGCACAAAACAGATGGCGAGCGCTGGTTCGGAAAACGTAGGTCCAAACAGGAATGAAGAAGACTAAGAAAGTAAGGCTTACATTACTCTCGGAATCGCTCCTTCAAATGCACAAATTCCTCTGCTTGGGTTTACATCGTAGGTTAGAGTTATTTTAGAGTTATAAAGATTCTGTAGAGATTTTCATTTTCCATTGTCTTTCTTTTTTTAAAGGGGGGAGGGGGGATGAGAGTCGGACGTGAGGTTAAAGTAAAGAGTGAAGGCTCCAGATCAGGATCTGCGCACGAATTCCAAACATATGGCCTCGTTCCTAGGACGCTATATTTTGCCACAATCGCTTCCTTTTGGGAAGGAGGTATATAAGTCCTTTTGGAAAGGAAGTATATCCTTTGTGAAGGAAGTATATCCGAAAGTTCTAAAACGGCAATAGTTCAGTCGAACCCAGGTTACGGATATAACAAAAGACTGATTTACAAGTGGATCGGCGCAGTCGATCGAACACGCGAGGCGAAAATCACATCGCGCGAGGAGATGTGACGCGCAAGCTAAGGGTGACTTCCACGCGCCCTCGCGTGTTCACTCACTCTATAACGAATGGAACAATGTGGGACCTCTCGAAATCTAGCAGAAAGTCGTAGTCTGCCTGACTGATGTGATTATTCGGTGAAAATCATAATCAATAGTTAAGTAAAATATGAGCTGAGACTCAAGTGACTTTTCCGCCAAAGAAAACGACGGGCGCAGACACAGACTATATGACAGGTATGGAACTCAGCCCTCTCGATCCGAAATTCAATGCACTTACTTTATCAGCCTACCTTACCTCTTCGAGAATCACAACCGACAGCGAAATTTACTTCAATTGAAGTCCTATGTATTGCATTCAGCTCCAAACCGTAAAGAGACCAACAAAACTTCCAATGAGAATGACCAGAGCCCAGTACGGTAGGGTGTTAGTTTCAAACGCTTAGCTGTAAGCCAGTTAAAGGAGCGATTCTTAATGGCTGCTATTTGCAGTATTCAAAGTGTCCCGGGCTTCATTTCCGGGAGTTCCGTCCATCTCGGCCGATAATCCCTGTACTTTTGGCTTTACTTTTGGCAATTTTTCTTAACAATGATTTTGAACTGATTTCCCTTGTAAAATGAATTTTCTTAGCCTTTTGTTTTCTTTTTCGAAGCGATGAGGTTAAAGTACACATACCGCTAAATTGCGCACGCTTCTTGGGTTGCACACGGGGTCAGTCCAAAAACCAGATTTCAACAAACACGAGGATATCTTGATGGGGCTCAACTGACAGCTGAGAATTGGTCGGAAATTTAAATTTTAGCAGCCGAGAGCACGCGTACTTTACTATCGATCTATACCTGAGATCAGCAAAATTTACTAATAGCTGGAAAATGGGCTGAAACTTTAACTGAATGCTGAGAAATCTAGCACTTCCCATCCAGGCCCCCGATCACGAATTGATAGTAATACTGGTCACGTGCCTATCACGTTGACGTTTTAAGAACGGAAACGAATTCCCGGTCAAGGCCTGGGAAAAAGCCGTAAAATAAATCGCCTTTACAAACTGCTCCTGGGGCTCCAAGGCGCGAGGATGGTTAATAATAAATGAACCAGAAAAAAAAAAATGACAGAAAAATTGAACCTCATTAAAAACTAGCCAAAAAAAGCATTAACCCTTTGTTCGATGCTAATAGCATTTCTGCAAGAAGTCATGTGGGTCATGCCAGGCTTGGCTCCAAAATTACTTCAACGACCGGCCATAGTCGAACCGAAATGTCCTGCCCAACAATACTTTCAGCCCGAAATCGGAAGAAAAATAAGTCAGAATAATCAGCCTGGGACAGAAAAACAATTTTGTTATTAAAAAAGTGTAGTCCAATGTTGATAGGACTACACTTTTTTTTTTTACCTTACCTTTTACCCAATGTTGATAGCTACCGGAACAAAGTCCGAAGTTAACGACTGAGAAGTCTGCAAACTGGGATGTTGACAACTGTGAACTGTAGGATGAGTTTCTAATTTAAATTTGGATACTGATTTTTACATACTGTTTTTATATACATTTGATTTTTGGCGGAGATGGAGCACTTCGGTAACTATTTAGTTCCTGGAAGTCTTCGTATTTCGTGCAGTCTACAAACGTGTAATGTTGATAATAATAGGGCAAACGCTACGCTAGGCTCTGAGGATCTTATGAAGCGGAAGGTAAAATTCGGAATTCTGCCGACAAGTTTTGGTAAGAGTTTCTTATCCCTCTTTAATTTTCTCCCTAGCTTACTTGACGACACTGAAGTTAGAACTTTCTGGAGAAGAAGATGAAAACATTCCGTGACGATTTACCTGTTTTTGCTCTCTCTTCGCCGCTCAAGCTAAGAGAACAGCCAGTTTACACCGTAATTAACCGCATCTTTATTTCGCTCCGCCGAAGCAGACTGGTTCCCAGTCTCCACTTATTTGTTACCCTGAGGTGATAAAAGACTGGTTAGGGTTGCGGGGTATCCTGGGAAGAATGAAAAATGGATAAAGGATTAGTCTTCCCTTGATGCAATGCGTTGTCATCCATTCTTTCTCGATTCTAGGAGCGAGTCTGTCGAAACGCTAAATTTTACCATCGATAAAAGGAAATAACAAAAATACTCATATGAAGGCGAATATTATTGAAAAGCCGTTATATTTGAACGTAAAATTCATCCATTTTAGACGTGCCTAATTACCTTGTTGACATATTTATTACAGGTTGATTACAAGACGGTGGATCAGCGGCATCAACAGAAGTGGACAGGTTTGCTCCCCAGACCGCTCGCCGATTATTTAGCGAACCTGTTCACCGCCGTCCTTCCTGAGTACCGGCCCAACCCCTGTTTGGTCTTACCGATATCAGATAAGGACAAGACTGATTAACAAGCATAGTAGCAGTTGTGGTGAGACCCGTATTCCTAATTTGTTAAAATTAAAGTTTGAGGTGAAATTACGATGAAACAAACCCAAAGGAAATGCCTTTTGGTTCGAGTTATCGCGAGGTAAGGGCACATGGGAAATTTCTACTCGCAAGCTAGCTAAGACCTTGTTATGCGTCAAAATGCCTTTCTCTCGACTATGTACGTTTTTTTTAACATTTTTCGTTAAATATCAAGAGCGATCTCAATCAGCGCTGCTTCAGAAGCAACGTCTGCTCACAATGGAAACCACGAATACTCTTTCGTGATTTTCAAACCATGTTTTGGCCGTCTGAACGCCCACTAATTTCCAATTGTTCAGTGGACAAGCAGTTCAGTGATTTCCGCAGCACTTGTCCTAGCTGTCAGTAATGTTACCAAAATGTTCTTCAGTTTTGAGAGCCGATCCTCTCTAGACACAGGAAATAACAAATTTTGTCGACTAGCCAATTTTTATTTCTTGCCCGAAACCATTTCCACTATGCGGTTTGTCAAATCTGTCAACAAAAGTAAATAGCTTTTATCGATGGTTAGTGATTCACAAGTTTAGCAGACAATTTTGTTTGCCTAGTCAGTTTTGTCCAGTTTTTACCCGGGACAAATTCTGTCCGCGGTTCCATTAGTCTCGACTGACAAAATTTTTCCGACAAACCATAAGCGTAGGTGGTCTTAAATATACGAGGTTTTGTTTTCGCTCAGTGGCGCAGAATCGGCCCGAAAGCAATCGTAAATTGCATTAATTTTCCGTGACTCTTCCGTTGTTCCGTTGCCGTGAAGCGGTAGGGTACTCAAACTGGCTATCTAGACACAAACTGGCATCACCTACACGGTAAGTCTCACGGGCTTGTACGGCCTATATTAGACTTGTCAGTGATTTTTAATCTTGAGTAAGTTGCTCTACACCTGTCACCAACAGAATCACGTCCAGAATTGTGAAAGGTTTTTCGGAAAAGTATATCCAAAGTGCGGCAAACCTGGCTAAATTTTGTGCAAAGGCATTATTGTAGACTGGCTTGTGTAGAAATATTCCGAAATCATTGAGTTGTTGAGTTGTTCCAAGTGTGTCGCAGTACGAAATTCAAAAACTTTCAGTGAATTTTAGCCGTCTCCAAAGCAACCACAGGACACGGCTAAAATTGAGGCTAACTCTGTCAAATGAGGACGCAACGAAGTCAGACCCACACGCGATGAAGGAAAAAATTTTAGCACACATGAAAAGACTTCTCCATTTCGCATTGGAGCCAGAACGATTTTTTGAAGAACTGAAGATTTTGTGGTTGCCGTACTAATACAGCAAAAGCGACCAAGCAGTAGTAGGGATAATCACTATGTAAGAACTTTATTCACTAAAATAATCACTCTGAATAACGCGAACTTACTTTGAATATATAACCGCCCTATTTTGGACCCAAAATATGAAACAATAGCTAATTCCCTTAAAAGTTCGCCCTCTTCCGTTTCCTACACCCCCAAATTTCCGAAATCTCTGGAACACTTAACTGAAAATAATGGTTTTGTTGCGATAAAAATATTTGAAATAATCAGTTGCAAGCCCATTGGCTGTGCACTTGCTTCAGTAACACATTTCTGTAAAACCCTTGGAAATGTGTCGTAAATGTGTCCACTGTTTTCAAATAAATGATTATTAAAAATATTCTGGTGTCATTGAATGTGACACTTGGCTGTTATGACTGTTTGGCGAGACTATTAAATTGCAATTTAGTTTTCGTTGCCGGTCAGAAATTAGGCCGAGAGGCCGATGGAGAAATAAAGCACAAATTCGAATATTTCCAATTATTCCGTTCGCAGGTTATGCTGGGACGAGTTAGCTGTCACTCCACTGTCACTCTTGTGTCCCACCTCCCCACCCCACTCCCACGCAGGCGAGAAACCGACTCAGTTCGCTCTCATTGTTGTTAGGATTGTTGTTAAAAGATCTTTGTTTTTATTCTGTAATATATAAATACAGATGTTTATGTCCCTTTGAAGCACTATTTCCTTCCAAACAAACTTGTTTTGCCATAGATCGTCGAATGCGATAGTTTGATTTCGAGGCGGTCTTTTGGCAAATTCGTGCACAAAATCGTTCTCCTTTTGTATTTATTCACTGCACGTAACAAATCGCTGTGATGTCTAAACAATAATAAAGGTAATTTCACAGCAAACGATTAAAATATTTTTCATTCTTGTCAAGTGGAGGTCACTTAAGTCCTTTTAAAATATCTTTACGTCCTATGACGCGAGAATTTAAGACATTTTAAGAGTAGTTTAATCAACTTTCTAGTGAACTGTGAACACTTGAAGATATTGCTAAAGAAGGAGATCCATTGAAATACGGCTTTACTAGCTCGCATTTTTGTGACATACTGGGTACAATTTTACTCTTGGTTAATAACGGTTCCTTATCTCAGGCTAGTAGAAGAAAGTGCCACGGGGTTTCGCTCCATCAGTTCACGGTTATTATTATAATTGACTGTGACACTTTAAAAAGTTCCCAACTCTTTCAAAAGCTGCTTTGTTACAAACTCTTAAGAACGTCAAAAAATTGGTTTCCAGATCTGGTGCTGTTCAAAGCTGCTGGTTCAGAGTCTAAGACTGAATATACATATTCACGAGAAAAAATGTGTCAAGGCCTGAATGTTTGGAACTACTCCAAACAACACTCTTCACTCAACCGCAGGACGCTAGCGCTGTCAGTAGTTATACACGCAATCTTGGAAACGTACATGTAAAATGGATTTTTGTACTTCAGCGCATACTTTTGTTTAGAATTTTTGTTTGTGGATAAGTATTAATTTAAAATCACAGCTGCTCTACTTACAATCGAGCACGATCCGTCCCCGTCAAAATTCTTACTTAGCTTGGAGGCTAAGGGAAAATAAAAATTTCAATTTTTTTAGCGGCGAAGCCTCGATCGTGACGGGGAAAAAAAAACAGATGATGTTGCTTCTATAAGATTTTATAGCTTTCCAAAGACTTATGTAGGTAGTCACTGGCGTGAGCTTGGAGCCTGCGCTTCTCTAATAACCTAATGTACTCTTTGCGCCGGCTTGGCCGGTTTTGAGCGTCGCAGACATTTTTCTCATTCCGAACTCAGTTTCCGCAGGCATCGCAGCTCGACTTGTGAACAACTCTCCTGTGTTGGTGTAATTAGAATAGAGGAGGAGAATTTTCGGTTCACTGCCTAGCACGCGATAAAGTAGCCACTAATAACTCAATTGCAAGCATTGAAGTATTAAATCGTTGTGGTACTTGAGGCTGGTAAAGAATTATAGCATAGCTAATACTGTGCTAATAGATGATTTAGCTTCTAATTCTACTGTTTTATAACTTGCAAATAAGAGTTAAGTCTCTTATAGTCTGCATAACTTCTTATTTCCTTATTTACTTGCCGTTGGGTTGATATGTCCGGGGCTTGCAGTAATCGACTCCAGGTCGGCACCCCTGAGGGGCGGACAGCCGGCCTTATTACGACGTTGACCAATCAATTTAGAGCATTGATAATCACGTGGATACTGACTTAGTGACGTCATGATGAAAGGGAGGGCTTGAGAGAAAAAATTTTGTTGCTCCTCAATAATGACATGTCGAAACCCGTGACAGTAGAAAGGGAAATTGTTCTTTGTGGCGTTTCCTTGCCTCCTTTACTGAATTTTAAAAGCGATTACCTGGTTTATAAAGAACAGACAATTTTCTCGGTAGTAGTTTTGTGTTAATTGTGTCTTTTCAAGGGAGAAAGAGCTTATGGCGGTTATGCCGGTTACGAAACGAGATTTTGTCCCTTTGGAACCGTTCGTTCACCAAGTTGGAGGGCATTCCTCCATGATGAAATTTGACGATGTTTCAGTTTGCAAGCCCTTAAATCAACGAGAGCATCGCTTTTACGAAGAGCTGCCATCAGAGATGCACCCATTTACACCGGAATATCGAGGTAAGACTGATAATCTCTTGTTTAATTTTTCGCATTTTTTAGTCGCGATCGTTGTACGTAGTTTTAAGTGTCCAACGTTTGCAATTTCATCATACCTTTTGTCAGTCATCGTCCCTTTCTTAAGGATTTTGCGCTGTTTATGCTTTTNTGCCTCGGTTTGCCTGTGACTAGCTATGGCCCTGACTGTAATTTGGACTATGATTGCCCCATTTGTAACATGAGGAATTGATTGTCAGGCCCCTCTTGATGTCAGTGTCAGTTTGTTCTGCATTTAGTCAAACCTGATGCTGAGCCATGCAAAAAAAACCCTGTTTGTCAGCCATTTATGATAGAGAGTGCTGGACAGTCAAGTTTGTTTGTTTGTTTGTGTTTTTTCAGGTGGACACTGTTGTTGTTTCATATATCGTTCTGAATAACAGTAGCACAGTTTCACCCTTATGTAAAACATAATCGAACTAAGTGAAAAGCACCAGTTACATTCAAACAGGTCAAGTGTTTGTTTCAATATGCAAGTTCCATAGTCATTAAAATTCATCAGATTTTCAGATGTGTTCGGACATGTAATTACAGACACCAGTGATAGGAAAATCCATTGGTTCATTTTGAAAAAAGAGCATTAGAGAGAGAAAAGCAGAAACAAAACCTAGCAAATTCCAATGTTCGTGAAAATCAAGCTGTGCGAAAGTTGTTATCCCAATCAAAATTCACCCATCAAATTGAGTCCCATTTTGAATATTAATAATAATAATAATTTCCATAACTCCAATTCCCAGAGTTCCAATATTGAACTCTTCATCTGAGGGGCAGAAGTGTGAAAGGAAGTTCAATTTTCATATTGTGCTCTAGAAAGGAACACTCCTCTGTTTACCATGAAAAGAGATGAATGTGATCATAGAGTTTCCAGGCTATCAATAATTTGGAAGTTTTAAGAGGTTTTGGTCATTTCATATACGCAGCTGGATCCTAGAGTGGTCTCTCCCCTCTACCCTCTCCCTCCTGACCCATTTTGTTAGAGCTACATGCATAGTTTCAGGATTATGTAGAATTTCTTAAGATAATAGATAATCGCTCATAGGTTTTTCCCTGATTCCAGGGCTGCAAATAACAGTCGGTCATTGGACATTGGCTGACCAAAATTCGCTTATGTTCGACAAAATCCCAACTGTGGTCGCACATGATGTCCTGACAACTTTTTTACCCTAAATCATTTTACAGTAAGGAGGAATAAAAATCTACCTTGAGTAAATCTTACTTTTCTTGGTGATGTCCAAACACAATTTGTTTTGTCCGATCAAGGTGGTGTCTTAGTTGGATATATGTCCTTTCAAGAGAAAACAATTATTTGCAGCACTGTGGTTCATCACTAATTCACTTGTCTGCCATTAAAACATGTGAACAGTAGTTTTGACCTTGAAGTCCATACAGAAAAGAATGAGAGTTGATGTTTTTTCTAGTACTGTAGAATAATTATTAACTTTACCCATTCTAATACTTGGAAAGTATGTGACTGATATTGAAGAATTCTGTTTGGCTGAATTTAGTTATTAGCCCTCTTGGAGTTAGCTTCTCTTTGAATTCTGTAATGTATTTTCTGTAGCATACTGTAAGTTTGTATGTAATGCGTGGATAAGTAAACTGTAGATAAGGCTGTTTTGTAACAGTAGTATTATTTTAATTGTAATTGTTTGAGCTATTATAAAAAAAAAAAACATAAAAATAAAATAAATAAATATTAGCGCTCACCGCAACTGGCCTTACTTGACTTAAGTATAACTGTGATATACATAACTTACATGTGTGGACCTGGGTAGCTATGTATTTTGTAAGGAAAATGGAGTTTAAGTCACCACAGAAGTGACACTGAGAATAGTGTTGATAAAGAAAAAGCTGAATTTTTGTTTAACCTATGAATCTTGCAATACTGCAGAGTTATTACTGTCTATTCTATTAGTCTATTACTATCCAAGTTATCTCAAAACTGAACATCTTGAATAGCATTAAATTCACAAAAGAAATTTGGTACATGTTCTCCAGGATAAACAAAATGTGGACATTCCATGTTAACTTGTTGTTCTGCAGAGAATGGCAAACAATTGTATCAATTTCTTTCTTTCAGGCTTTAATTTCACAGCTGCTTAAGTTGTGTATACAACTGCGATGACCATTCATGTCATTCATTCAAGATTTATAACACACATGCACAGCCATTGTATAAGCTCTCTTTTTTAGAAGCTCTCTAATGGTTGATTTTTCTTTTAGGGGTGGTTTATGTGAGCTTTAAAGAAGACGAGGATGGTTACATTCATCTGACCGCTCATCCAGACAAGTTGGCCTTAGAATGTCAGAATAAAGAAGGTTCATCTAAATACAGTTGTAACTCTAGTTCTGACAGCGACAGCAGTGGGGAAGACTTGTTAGGGTCACCGCAAAGGAGGTCTCGACGGATTGGTTTTGTTGAAACAGTGGATAAAGGTCCACACAGGTATGTGTGCAAGCTGTGTAATCTTGATTAGGAATGAACTTCTCACAATAACTTGTTTTTCATAGGATGTACTGGTCAGTAAAACTTAATGAAGAAATTATGTTTTTGTTTCCATTTAGAGTACGACTTCGGAGTGGAAAGCTAGAATTAGTGAGCAGTAGAAAGGATGGTTTATTTGATGCTGGAGATATGCCAGAACATTCTGCAGGTGTGTAGGACTACCTTTATATAGAGTACAGTGGAATCCTGTTAATCCGATTACCAACTTGTCACTAAAGTCCTGTTATTAACTGACTGTTATACAGCAAGGCTGTGGTCTAAGAAAAATTACAAGGAGCCCAAAGGTTCCTAACCATGTAATATCCTGGGTGCCTAGAGCTCATTTTAAGCTTATTTGAAAGAAGTAAGTTTTTCCAGTAGCCTGTGTCAACCGAGCACTTCTAGAGCACAGCCCTGTACAGTGACAAAGTCAAAGGAAAGGAGGGTTCTACTGTACATGTATTGATGAGGACTGCGTCAAACATTCCAGATGTTTTTTTCTTGCCCATGCCAGCAAATATGTATTTGGGATTTGCAAGGATGGTTTACACTTATCATAGAATATGGTGCAAGAAAAGAGCAAGCTCCCGACTGAAATCTCTTGAACTTGGAATTTCAAAGAAACTAACAAAAAAAGGAACTTGATTCATACATTTTAAGGCTTGTCCAAACTGGAAATGTTCAGCGACCAAACATCATCAAACATTGTTTGGTGACCAAACATGCTGATGTTGAAGTGAGTGGTCAAACGGTTAAAACATGTGTGATCAAACACAGATCAAACTATGGATACAAGCCGCAGTCTGAGCACGCGTTGTACGCATGCGCGCGCCAAACATGTTTGATACGGCTGTCCAAATGAACAAAACATTGCCCATCAAACACGAGAACAAAAGAAATGTTTTAAGTTGTTTGATCAAATGTTTAGTGGTCTTCAAATTTTATCAAACACGACCAGACAAGATCAAACACGACCAGACAAGATCAAACACGATCAAACAGCAACAAACAAGGTGGCCAAACAGTAAAATGTTTGGGCACCAAACAATGTTTGATAGTGTTCGGTTCCGAAACATTTCCCGTTTGGACAAGCCTTAGGCCTTTATGCAGTAAATTATGTTTAGCTGTAATTTGGAAAACACCATAGATTTGTCCACATATGTAATATTATTATACCTCATTGTAACACCAATACCAACCATTCAAGCTTACTTTGCAAGTCCCAAATTCATTTGCTGTTGTAAAAGCGATGTAAAATCCCTTGTCATATGGGCTTCAGGGTAGGGATTGCTGGTTGTGGAACAAACCATGTGTTATTACTTCTCTAGATAATGCCTCCCACGGGTGGCCTGAGATTGGGAACTGCACAAGCTCCTATGCCAGATGGAACAACACTTATGGTACTTGATGTGTGCTAAATGATACTAATTTGCCTTGTTTGAATTTACAGTCGACAACATTGTACCATACTTAAAGCACACCTCCTAACTGACTGAGCTAAGAGTTAGCACACGTAGATGTGCTTTTACTGTTTGGGGCTGCAGGGAATTTCTTTCTTGCTCAAACTGTGGCATGTTGTACAAGTAATTCGTGCATGTATAATTTCATGCATTAGAGTATTTTCTCTCCTGATTCTTACATTTACTTGTTTTCATCCCTGTTTTCTTCTCATGCCTTCAAAACAGTACAACAAATGCTAGATTATTGCTTTAAGTTTGGTGTTTCCTATGGAGGTCAGGATGAGGAGATGTCCGCTGTAGTCAGTTGAATCCTTTACAGTTGAACCCTGCTTTCTTGAACTTAGTTAACTCAAATTCCATGCTATCTTGAACCACACTATCTCAAATTCTCCTCCATCCCCATCCCTCCCACCATCCCCCAGATATGTTTTTCCAGTCATTTGCCTGCATGCATTTTTCATTTCCCTTAAGAATTTGAGATAACACGTGGGGTTCAACTGTTGGTTCAATGTTCTACCTCCAAGGTAGACATCTCCTGGCAGGCATTTAGCTAGAGCTTAAAAGAGGACTTACCACATGACTAATCATTATTTTTTTGTTGCATTTTAGGAAGTGCAGGTGCAAACCCTTGGAGTTTGCATTGTCACAAAGAAGAGTTAAACAAAATGAGAGCGTTGGGTTCATCATCTAAAACACATAGTATCCTTTTACTGCATGTGCCTCTGGAATTGTCACATCTTAACATCTTCATCTTAGACTTTGAGTTGTGTCACCTTGAACTTTTTAGCTGTATTGAAATTAACAATAATTAAGTCAATCAATCAGTCAACTTTGTTTAAAAAGGGTGATGATTTTATACTTCACTAAGACAGCTACGAAGACCATAGTTAACCTACAAATCAGCCAGTTACTCTATTTGGACCTCGCAGCACTTGTTGTCTTCTAGACCTTTGGTGAATGTTTTTGGAGAAAAGCGCTATCACTTGTTTAGTAAGATATGCAGTCGAACCTCCACTACCAGCCACCACTCAATAACAGCACTTTGATACAATGTCCATGATTTTTCTTCCCAACTGTCGGCCAAACTATTCACATTTCCATCATAAAACCTCTGTACAAAAAGCACCTCTCTATAGCAATCAGTTTATACTGCCCCTGATGGCTGTCAAGAGTTTGACTTCCAAATCCAAGATCCTCAGATCCAAAAACAAACTGGAACTGACTGTTGGTGTGAGACATGCATTTCCCTTTTACACAGGGCTAGCCATGTTTCCCTGGATGTAATCTTTGTGGCAAAATATCTCCCAAAGTTTTTTCATGTTATCACACGTCATCTTGTGTTTAAACCTTAACTCTGAGTAGAGTTTATTGTTTTGGAGAATGTGGCTTACCAATTTTCTAATCCTTGTATTCTGGACTTAAAAATGGGAACACGGCAACATGGAGATGACGCAACTGGTGAGAAGAGGGACAGACTAATGGCTAAAGTTGAAAAATCCACATCAAAAACACTTGGAATCAGGGCATGTGGTATGCAGGTAAAAAAAAATACTTTCTTTGGTTTAAAGCATAATAATTATTTAATAATGGGTATAGTTGGTAGCACCGGCCCATTACCCCCCAGGGATTCTGGTTAAAATTCAAAGTCAAGTACTGTAGAAGGCAGCATTTATAAAGAGAGCCTGTAAAAATTCCTTGCGTGTGAAAAACATTAATTTTTTGGAAGTTACGGTCACCTAATGTTGACTTTTGCACATACCAGTGGAAATGCGCACTACTGAACTGAAGCCAGTGGAAAAACATTAGTAAAGGTTCTGTTTAATTTATGCTTGTGTGCAAAAAGGTAAACAGCAAATACTGATTATGAGTTCTATATACCTGTTAGTTTCAGCTAAAACAGAAAAGACAAAGATACCTAGATGTTATGTTTATAAATGTTGCAACTTACGTAGTTACAAAGCAAGTTTGAACAAAATTAAGACTTAAGTTTCAGATTGAGATTCAAACTTGTAACCTTTGCAAATGTGTATTTACAACCAGTATGTTTTTTATGTTATTGTTGTTTGTTAGTGATGTGTGTTACTTAATTTAATGATCTGCATTGTATGCTGCAGTTTTATTGGTGCACGTGTGGTCACCAAAAACATTCTCTTCTTTGCAGGTGTATAAGCAGAATTCAGGAAGGTTTATGTGCCGAAACAAATACTATGGATTAAAGTTGTGTGAAGAAGGTTTTAAGGAAGAACTCATTACTTTTCTTCACAATGGACAACAGTTTAGAACAGAGTTGATAGAACCTTTACTTCATAAGCTTCGAAAGCTTCACAAAGTTATAGAGAAGCAACACTCTTTTCGTTTTTACTCAAGCTCACTGCTCTTAATGTATGAAGGACACATTGATGAGACAACAAACAGTTGTTGCTGTTCTGCCAAAGAGCAAGAAAATGGTCGAAGCAAGCAGGATCAAGTTAGTCGCAATAACAGCTCAAGTCATTTGAACAAGAGTTGTCAGTGCCCCAGTCATCGTTGTAAGGTTGACGTGCGCATGATTGATTTTGCTCACACGACGCACAGTGGTTTCTCAGGGGATCGAACTCGAACTGGACCTGACACGGGTTATTTGTTTGGCTTAAGGAACCTGATAAGACTTCTAGATGAGATCCAAGAGAATTACCACAAATCTCCTGGTGAATTAGAAGAAGTAATAATTAATGCCGATAAAAGCCAAGTAAATTAAGGTATTTTATGACATAGAGGGTTTGTATCAAATGATGATAACAAAGTTGAATAAATGCTGTGCTAATATTTCTCTAGACAATGCACACAAACTTGTACTAGTAAAAGTGAAATCTTCTGCAATAATTTAGTTAGTCATATGGTTTTAATAAATTATCAGCTTGGGAAAACTGGCAAACAGGAAAAGTGAAAAAACAGCTTGATAAAATAGGTGTGATAAGTTCTTTGAGTATTTTAGTAGGTGTTTGAGGCCAACTTATAAAGGTGAATGTTAAATAATATGTACTGCAGTGGATTTGTCAGTATTTGCTCAAGGCATTGTTTAATAATTCCAAAGGGGTCTGGCCAAAAAAAGCTTGTCATAAATGACCAGGCAATTTGTCTGAATAAATGCAGTACATTAAGGTGCTAAGGTAATACAGTACATGTTGGATTAAAACTGCATTATTCAAACATTATAAATAACAGGTTGCTAAGTCTATAATCAACATTTAGGTATGTCCCTCACAGTTGCAATTTTGTCATTTGTTATTCTCAATATTGTTTGGTGATTTATGAAGAAGTTCTGGGGGCTAAATTGTTAATGATCTTTCTTTTCTATGAAACTACAAAATGACAAAAGTTTAACCGTGTTATTTATGAATTTTGATTTACAAATATCCCCTAATTTGGAATGGAATCATACAGTGTGCAAGGGACTCCAAGTTACTTCATAAACAATATGAAATTGTCACTATAAATGTGATACCTCTTTTCTTTTTACAGTATCAAAATGTAGTTTTGTCTTTCCATCTATTCCATCTTGGTGGACTGAAAAGCCATCTGCACGTTCTCTTCAGAACCTTTTTGAGTCTGAGAATGGCCTTTTCACATTACTCTCCAGGTCATTTCATACAGTTTATGTTCTGGTAATCATATTAAATTAAAGAACTTAATTTAATTGAAAGGCTTCAATCCAAATGCTAGAAATTAACTTCACAATATAAATATAACGTCGTTTTACAAGGGCGTGGTGATATTTTGACAGCACAAATTAAGCCAGAAATGGCTTTAGAATTGCGGTTGAGGTGGCTACGACACTTTTACTAAATACTCATGAAAAGCGAAGAAAATAAACAAAAGCTCGCGATAATGGTACAAAGTTCCAAATTTGTAAATTCACCGATATTTTCGCGATATGCACAAATACAAATTACCTATATTACAAAAACACAATTCAGATTAAAACTTGATATTCAAGGGTTTAACCGTAGCGCTCTTGTGATTAAAGCTTTTGACAATATTATGAATTATGGTGTTAGTGATAGTCACATTAATAGATAATAAATATAATTTTTAGTTGCTTGGTAGAGGGAGCTTAAACGGCAGCTTCAAGGAGCCGTGTTGTGCATTCTGTTGTATCGATAATTAAATCTGATGACTGACCGGTTTAATATTTAATAATTATTAAGTGGTCAAATTGAATTCCTTGTTTGGGGGTAAAATTTGTTTATAGTTTGGTTCGCATCGGGTTTGTTGCAATTCTTGTAAACCGAAAAAAATATATATTTTAAAACTTTCACAAAGAACTGTATTTAAGCCATGTAAATATGTATATTCCTAAAATTAAAGAAGAC